ACTGTACGGTGTGATGAGCCAGGTTGTTGTGTTTGTGTGTGTTACCTGCACATTGTGTTGTGTAACATTGTGTTTGTGTGTGTTACCTGCACGTTGTGTTGTGTAACATTGTGTTTGTGTGTGTTATCTGCACGTTGTGTTGTGTAACATTGTGTTTGACTGTACGGTGTGATGAGCCACGTTGTTGTGTTTGTGTGTGTTACCTGCACATTGTGTACATGTGGCTGTATTTGTGGTGAGGTTTTTAGTCACACTCTGATGAAATCCTGTGCCTCTGAGGACATATTGTGGTTCTGTTTAATTTGTATTAAATTGTCAGATTGTGTGTTTGTTTCATTCCCAGGTTCTGTTTGTTTGTTAAATCCTGGTTTTACTGGTTTAACTGGTTTTACTGAGGTCCAATCAGTTAAACAGCTGTTTCCATGAGTGTCTCTGGTCTGAACAGCTTCAGGTTCAAACACAGGGATGTGGCCATGAAAAGGTAAATAAATGATGAAAAGTTTCTATTTATTGATCAAAGTTTCAAACATTATTATTGTCACAAGTGTAGAGATTAGGATGAACAGAACCACTCATCTGTGGTTCTTTATTATATCACTACGTTATCTTTTCTAAAAACTGCTTCAACCCACTTTGTATCACATAATACAGCTGAGAGTTTTATAAAACAGTTTTAATGCAGCTTTCTTACACTGTGAAGCCTGATTTGATCACATTATTACATCATGCAGAGTTACACTTTTTAACCCTTCATTAACTTCATCACATTTGTTCTTCAGTTTAAATGTGGAGTTTGACAAAGCAGCAGGAAACAGCTGTTTTAAAGATGTCAGATCGACTGAACTCTGCTTCTGTAACTTTTAGGACTTCATCAGTTTCTGGGTCTGATCATCAGACGACACATTTATCCTGACTTGTGTCCTTTCCTCGTGTCCTTTCCTCGTGTCCTTTCCTCGTGTCCTTCACTTTCTTCTCACAACCCACAAATATACATCAACTTTAAACTGTCCCTGAGTGTTTGTGAGCTGACTGAACATCATTAAATGTGTTGATGTCTCACTCCATGAGAGCAGCTGGAACACAACAAACGAACAAACAAACAAACAAACAAACAAACAAACATACACAGTTTGTTCATAGAGCCTCATGTATAAATCCTAATAATCAAAGTGCACACAGACACATTAAATGTGAAAAACTGCACACAAACACGTTCAGTGTGCTGATCCAGTTAACTTTACCAAGTTTAAATGAAGATCTCTGTAACGATTTTTAAACTCCTGTAGATTTTAGATTGTATTACCATTATCAGGTTTTAAAAAATGAATAAAATAATTTAAACAAATAAAACTCAGTTTTTATTCTTTGAATGGTTGAGTTTTAACCCTGACATAAATAAAACTGATGAGTTTTGTTCAACAGAAAATACTTTGAGCAAAGATTTCAAAAAGAACAAAGATCCCATGTGAGTTTTATCCATGTTTATAACATAAATACTAAGTATATCTTCAGTAGTCATGCACGTTACATGAGACACAGATAAAGTTGAACGTTTGTTTGAGTAAAAACGAACCAGTWAAGAAGCAGAACATTCTCACAGCTGGTGGTTCTGTGTCGTCTGTCGAGCATCAGGAGGTCCAGATTAAAGATGGTCGCTCAGATTTCAGGTGTTTTTATGTCATAAAACAAAGTTCTGACCTGGTGCCATGAGCCCAGAACCAGCAGGACCATCATGGTTCTGTTACAGTCTCACCTGTTCACAGCTCATTTATACACAAGGCTCTGAGCTGCAGGTACATCAAACCAAAAGGACTTTAAAAATATAAAATTAGATGTAAACAGTGGATTTATATCGAATCTGGATTGTTTCACATCCAAACACAGGTCTAATTAAATGATGTTCAATGAACAGAATAATGAGATTTTCAGATGAATCTATCAGTTTGTGGCTGTCTGTTTTAAATGCTTTAACTRGAACTACATGTGTTTAGTCAGCTGAAGCAGAAAGAGGACAGATTGGTAGTTTTCCTGCTCTGTGTAAAGTGAAACACAGCAGACTGTCAGTCCTGCTCTCCAGTTAAATGCTACATACAGTGGATGAAGAGGATGATTTTCCACTGAAGTTGGATGATGTAAGGATGACTCTTGGCAGCAGCTACTCCCAAACCAAAGGAGATGGAGGCATTTCAGATGGCTGAGCCACAGTGGAGCTGTTAAAATAAAATAAAGACACATTTTTACTTGTATGTTAGATTCAAATCATGTTCCTAAGTGTTCGATGTAACCCAACATGTCTGATAACAGGTCAGGAACTCTTATGGTTTAACCTTCATTTTCACATTTAACAGTTAATTTTAATACAGAGGGTTTCCTCACACACAGTGCTGTGGTAATTTTATTTATGTATTTTCTTCACCCTAACTCTGACAACTTTAGAAAACCCATTCTAACAGTGACACAGATGTCAGAAGGGCTTTTTCATCTTTCCAACAGACCTGGACTCTGGTGTCTTGTTTGGTGGTAAAGTCTCAAATGCAGAAAAAAAGGCTGCCCCTGCAACCCAAGCCCAAATAAGCTGAAGGAAATGGATGGATGGTGTCAAAATAAGGTGAGATYAATCCATGTCTTTACTGTGATCATCTTAAAATGTGTTTYTACATAGCTGTGATGATGAAAAAAGAGAAATTCATTCTGTCTCATGAAGAAAAGAACKAGAKGTTTAAAACATCTACAATAACATTTAACATCTCCTTGGGCTGCCACCTTATGGTGGTGGAGAGGTTTGAGTGTCCCTATGATCCTAGGAGCTATGTTATCAGGGGCTTCATGTCCCCAGTAGGGTCACCCAAGGCAAACAGGTCCTGAGGGGTCAGACAAAGTGCAGCCCAAAGACCCCTATGACTGAGTGTTCCCTCACCCAGACGTGGGACACTTGGGCCCCACTCTGGAGCCAGGCCTGGAGGTGGGGCAGGTTGGCGAGCATCTGGTGGCTGGACTTTTACCAATGGAGCCTGGGAGGGCACAGGCCTAAGAGGAGACGTGGGTCCCCCTTCCCATGGGCTCACCGCCTGTGGGAGGGGCCAAAGGGGTCAGGTGCAATGTGTGTTGGGTAGTAGTCGAAGGCGAGAGGTTCTAATTAGAAATAGTTGGACTCACCTCGAAGCACCTCTCTGGCTCTGGAACCAGTCTCCTCCAGAGGGGTTGGACACTCTTCCACTCTGGAGTTGCCCATGCTGAGAGGTGCCAAGCAGGAGTGGGCATACTTATTGCCCCCCATCTCTGTGCCTGTACGTTGGAGTTCACGACGGTGAATGAGAGGGTAACCTCCCTCCGCCTACGGGTGGTGGTGGTGGTGTGGTGGGTGGGGGGTCCTGACTGTTGTCTATGAGCCTAACAGCAGTTCAGATTACCCACCCTTTTTGGAGTCCTTGGAGGGGTACTAGAGAGTGCTCCTAACGGGGACTCCCTCATTCTGCTGTGGGGCTTCATCGCTCATGTGGGTAATGACAGTGAGACCTGGAGAGGCGTTGTTGGGAGGAATGGCCCCCCGATCTGAACCTGAGTGGGGTTTTGTTGTTGGACTTCCGTACTCAACATGGATTGTCCATAACGAACACCATGTTCATGGCCTCCCAGGCCAAAGCCCGACAAGGCCAGAGGACCCGAGCCCCAGCACCAGGTCAGGCCGGCACCCGCCCCAGCGCCCAGCCCCAGACCTCAAGAACCCCAGTATGCTGAAAGAAAAATTGTTCCAGCAATAAATGCTTGTTGGCATCAGAGACACCTTGACACACTTTGTCAGTGGATTTATTTATTTAGTTAGTTAGTTAGCTAGAAAGGTTATTCGTTGTATGTATATACAGTATGTATTTATGAAGCTAGAATAGTTCTTTGTGATAAAAATAAATTATTTGACCAACTCTTTGTATCCTGAAATAATGCACACTATTGTGATTCATTTCCCATCCAAGTCATCTCAACTTTGCCATGCTTCTCCTCCTGCATACTTTGTCC